GGCTCATTAGAGTGAGTATGATGTGTGTAAGCGTGAATATTGCTGTGGATTTGTGTTATCATTTGGCTCATTAGGGAGTGAGTGAGTATAATGTGTGTAAATGTGTATGTTCGTGTAGGTGTATGTATAAGCATGTCTGTCTTATTTAAATATATATATATATATAAGTTTTTTATGGTACAAAATTTAGTAATAGCGAGGAAAAGGCAAAATTTATATGGCATTTTTAAAAAAGCTACCCCCACCCCCCAAAAAAAACAATCGGTTTCGTCCCAAGACTTATCAAGTTTATTTTTCTAGGATATAAAAATATAAAAGCGTGTAAATTAAATTAACGAATAGAATGGGGTTCTAGAGTCCTTGTATATCAGATCCCGTGGGCCTTCCCTTTGTAAACAGACGGAATGCTTACTGGGACTGAATGTTATTGGACTCTAGCTTCTTCATATTTTTCTCCATTCCATTCGTTAATTTAATTTACACGCTTTTATATTTTTTATATCCCAGAAAAATAAAATTGATAAATCCTGGGACGAAACCGGTTATTCTTTTTTAGCTTTTTTAAAATGTCATATAAATTTTGCCTATTCCTAGCTAATATATAAGACAGACATGCTTACGGAGGTGTTGAAGCCTCACACTTAAACACACACCCACACGAACATACACATTTACACACACTCCCTAATGAGCCCAAATGATAACACACACCCACAGCGATATACACGCTTTATACATATATATATATATATATATATATATATATATATATATATATATATATATATATATATATATATATATATATATATATATATACATACATATATATATATATATATATATATATATATATATATATATATTTATATTATATATGTAAAGTATATTAAATAATCCTAACAAACTGACTCTTCTCAAAATGTCCTTTACGGTCATTTAAATGAACTTTACCCGTGCGATAAAGAAATCTCTACTCACGCACATTAATTTACCCGTTATTGAATCCGTTTTATTTATTCTGCTACGGCAATAAAATATGTTGTTAAGTTTACTCCCACCGATAAATAAACTGAGCAGCGGATTGGCGCGCGTGCCAGGAGAGACGCACGATGAAACAAACGCTAAACCTCCACTCATTGCTTACTTGAAAAGCTAGAAGTTGTGGCTCTTTGCGAATATCTCTGGGTGATGAGCGGTTTCGGACGCCGAAAAGCACGGCGTTAGCTACGAGGCGGATACAAGTATTAAAGTTCAGTGATGTAAATTACCTTATCAGGTTTAGTCATATTTAAACTCCGTTTTGGGTAACCAATTATAATGGCGAAGGGATCATCCTAACGACTAATCACATGTGGCATTTAAGAAGAATTTTAGAGTACAATAACATTTTTAAAGCAATTCACCCCAAGCAAGGCAGGAATGCCACTAGAACGCAAGGGGTTACAGAGGATTGAGAACAAGAGTAATGGGGCGGTTTGAGGAAAAGGTACAGAGAAAGACGGGGAACAAGATCAAGGTATCAGAACATGTCGATTACACCTGATTATTTGAAGATTATAGTTATCTGGGAAGCAAGCAAGAGGAAGGAAGTTCCACAGACGGGAAGTGCGAGATAAGAAGCTGTTTAAGTAGAAGAGACGGTTACATTTAACAGTGAAAGAGTGGGACCTAGATGCCAGCCTAGTAGCTTACTTAAATTCATGCAGTCTATACAAGAGACAGAGGTGTTATAGTGGAACACACATATTCTATAGTTAATAGACTCTCCCACCTATAATAAGTAGGAGTAGTAAGAGTAACGAGGGAGTCGGTCAGTGGGTCTGTCAGTCGATGCCAGCGACCACCACTAGATTTCTCTGCGTCATTACCTATTATATCAAGTTCCTAACGTTTTGTACGTCGAACCTATTTTAGGACCGACTTAGTACAAATACAAGCCTCCACTGTGAAACTACTCTATAACAAGAGGGAAGTCAGGACACGTCTTTAAGAAAGCGACTGTAGACGAGATGCCAGATCTGGACCTATCGCATTGCATATTCGGCTCTGGATTTTGTCAAAGGACCTCGAGATGTACAGCGTGTCACCAGACCACATATGACAGCAGTATTCCATGCAAGGACGGATGGTTGATTATAGATTTGAAGGATGGACTCAGACGACATATTTAAATTTTTACGCAGCAGTATCAACGTACTCGTTCCTCAGACAGCAAAAATCAGAGAGCCGAGTTCTACTTCCAGTCGAGTTTGTTCCATTCATTTACTCCCAAAAACCATTGCGAAAAATCAGAGTCCATTTCTCCCCTCTCCCCAGATATGGTTTATATAGTAGGACGGGTATCTCAAAAAATATTATTTATAAAGAATTTTTAATAAAATATTCGCTTACAAATATAATAATTCTTACGATCCAAAATGCGACCCGACTTTAAAAAACCTGCATAAGGTTGATAAACCGTAAAAAATACATCAACCAAGATTTGACCGCTGTAAAAACTTTAATGGGGAAAACTTTCTCGAATTAAAACTTGATTCAAGATGTCATCCAAAATCTTTTCACATGAAGACCCGCAGTATTTTGATCAAACAGTATCGAAATGCTGCCTCATAATTGGCAAAAACGTCACAGCAAATGATAGTGAATGCATAATTGAATAAAATTTAATTGTACATTAATTATTTGACGAATAAACAAAAACATTAATTATTTATGATTCAATCTAATTGTTATAAAATGACAGTAATGATGGAGAGTGTATCGACCCAAATTGTTGGGACAAAAAAGCAACAGCAAGATAAAGAGATTAAAATTGGTAAACAAAAATATTGTAATATTTAAGTAGGTATCGAGGCTTAGCGTTGGGACAAAAATAAATAAAAGGTAAAAAAAAACCCAATAATACAATGAAGTAAAAGTATAAATCATAATGAAATTGTAATATCTTAGAATTCTGAGGAAAAAAGGAAAAAGAAAAGATTTTAGTACATTTCCGATCTTAACAGTTCCCAACTATTTATGCTAGTGACACAACTAGTTACTCCTGTCTTAATAGCAACGTCGATAGGTCCGACAAAGTACAACCGACGCTAATCTAAAAAAAATGACTTCCAATCAGTTGTTAACTGGGGCAAGAAATGTCTTGTAAATTTTAACTGTCCATAAGTGATTGTCACCTTTTAATTAGAGAAACATGTTTGCCCTCCGTCAGCATGGCTGAAGTTAACCTCCAGGAGAGCAACTCTTGATCTCACGTTTCCCACTGACATAAAATTATTATATAGAATCACTTGCTCGGTCTGTTGCTAAAAAGCTTGATTCACCTGTATCGTAGCAGATAGTTTTTCACAACAGAATCCATCTTGTACATTTATAAAACCACCATTCGTACGGGCGTTGAATATTAATGTCATATCTAGTCTGGTGACCCCGCAATTTCTCAAGATTCTCGTCAAGAAGGGCTCAGCAATTTTATTGGTTCTGACCTGACACCTCGACTTTAGTTATATTTCAACAGCTGTATCATGGCTTCCCTTTGTCTTTTCTATAAATATTTTTATAGTAGTTGTTCTAAGGGAATCTTCTCCTTGGTACCGGGGCCACAGTAATTTAAAATTTAACGGTTGAAATGGAAAGATGTAATCGTGGGTAGAATTCAGATATTTTCTTTTTTTTAACACTTCTTGCCCGTAGAAATCCCTTCCAATTTCTTGCTTCTCTGCCGCCCACAATCTTCAAAAATTTGAATGCAACGTCACTCCCTATCTTCTGTGTCTCTGAAAACTGTTTTTTTATGGTCCTTTCACCTCAATAAACTTTTCTTTTTCTCTTTGACTCCAAGTAACCCCCTTGCGTCTTAGAGGCATTATCGCCATCTTCTGTCTTCCTGAAACCTGTTCTTTTATTGTCCTTTCTCTTCGCTATAGTCTTCTCATTCTCTTTCACTCCCAGTAACCCCTTGCGTCTTAGTGGCATTATCGCCATCTTCTGTCTTTCTGATCTCTGTTCTTTTATTGTCCTTTCTTCACACTAAAGTCTCCTCATCCTCTTTCACTTCCAGTAACAACTTGCGTCTTAGTGGTATTATCGCCTTGCCTGGAGTGAAATGTTTTTAAAAAAAAAAAAAAAAAAGCATTCATAAAATTACAATGTTAAAGTTTGTCCAGCTTGATATTATAAGGACGTCCAGAATAACGTAAGTGTTATAAGCGTAGAAAGCAAAATCAGCAAAGTGAGTTCAATTTCTAGCCTAGTCTTTTGTGTCCCCTTTGGCACTTACACATTGGACATGCATGAAACCATCTTTTAGTTCAAACAAATATGAGTTAAAAAGTAAATCAGAATTGATTCTTTAGTTTTGATTGGTAGCCAGTCTAGGTAAACGAATCATTTAAATTAACAACTGTTCAAAAGTCAACGGGAAATCACTTGACTCTCTTTTCTAAGAATGCATAGCAATTCAAAGATAATAGAGAAATGGAATAAGTGGAATGATATAGTCAACTACTTTCTGAAGGGACATGTCATTAAAAAATGAATTAAGAATTTATTCACCCAAAATCCTGGGAAGAAAGAAAAAAAAAAAAAACAGTACGGCAATAATGAGATAGTTAAATGATAGATTGATTCGTTTTTTTACGCCTTATCACCCCTTGGCAATTTATTTAAAGCCAGAAAATATTTATAGATTGTAAGTTTGTGGGGGGATAATAATCGCTTGGGGATACAAGTCTTACTAATTAACCCATAGTTGGGGGGAGAAGAGACAGATTCATACCTTTCCGGATGATATTTTTGCGTATGTGAGAGTAAGGAACCCGACTGGAATTCGACCTCTGCACTCCAATTTCTTATTTTTAAATGATAGGTCTCAGATTATAACGTAAGATTAGAGAATAAAGTGAGCTGGGAAAAGGACACTACCCTTAAAATGTTCAAGCTCGACTTCCGATTGACAATTCCGAGCCATTATTTATTACACCAACAGTGCATCCAAGATGACAACACCTGGTATTCACAGGCAGTCACACATCTAGGTATTGAACAGGCCCGACGTTGCTTAACTTCAGTGATCATACCTGAACGAGTGTTTGAAGGTGATATGGTGGTAATGATGGAGAAAATAATAATAGTTAAAAACTGATAGTGTCACAATTTGAAAGATGTGTGTCTGTATCGGGACAGAAATTAAATCGACGAGGTGAGTTCAAGCTTTGTCGTAGACTGTTGCATTTGCAATCACACAAATGCCAATCTCTGCTTCCCATACTGGTGGTTAAATAACAGTGTCAACTGGGCACTCTAGTCTTGTATGGCAGTCAATCTAGAAGAAATTTTACACTGAATTACGAGCCGTTTAGAAAGCAATGGAAAAGCACACTACTTTAAGATTTGATTTCCGGTTCGTTTTCCTTCTCTTTCAACGCCAGTAGCCCCTTTGCGTCTGAGTAGCGTTACCGCTTTGCTTCTGGTGATTTGATTAAAAAACTTCCTTTACGATCTTTTTTTTTTTTTTTTTTTTTTTGGGTATGTCGAAGCAAGTATCTTAAAAAGAGGAGAAATTTATATAAAAAAAGAAACTAATCCAAGGGAAGTAAATTCAAGCAAGGTAATTTCGAGTTATCGCCCTTGTTCACTGAGTAGAGCACGTGTTTTATTCAAATTAGGTATGCTGAACTAATTTTGATTTCTGATAGTTATATATATTTCGATCAACAAATATTGGAAAAATCCATGTGGATCAGACATTAATGCCATTTTCATATTATTTATTAAGCATTTAATTATGAAAAATAATGAATGTCTACAGCAGAACGTATGCCCAAATCCTTATGATTTTCTGTACACGGAAGGAAATTTCTCAGTAATATTTTTACTATCAACAGCAATTAATTGTAATTGGATCTGAGTGAGTAAGAATCTCTCATAAATAGAAACTAGAAGAAGCTCTATAAAAATAAACAAGAAAAAATTGAGGAAAACAAAAATTTGCGACTTTGTAATGTAAATAAATTATCCAAACGGGGACGAGATGTGCTTAGAAAGGAAAGAATGACAGAAAGAAAAAAGAGAAAGAAAGAATGAAAAAGAAAGAATGAAAAAGAAAGAAATAATGAAAGAGAAAGAAAGAATGAAAAAGAAAGAAAGAATGAAAGAGAAAGAAAGAATAAAAGAGAAAGAAAGAATGAAAAAGAAAGAAAGAATGAAAAAAGAAATAAATAAAAAGAACGAATGCAAGGAAAAAGAATGAAGAAAAGAAAGAATGAAAGAGAAAGAAATAATGAAAAATAAAGAAAGAATGAAAAAAGAAATACATAAAAAGAAAGAAAGCAAAAAAGAAGAAAAAAGAAAAGTGAAAGAAATGAAAGTAAAGAAAGAAAGAAGAAACAAAGAAAAAGAAAGAAACGAAAAGAAACGAACAAACAAAAAAGAAAGGAAGAAAACAAAAGAAAGAAAGAAAGAAACAAAGATAGAAGCAGTTGGCAGTGTTACTCTTTCAGTAGAATCGCCAATAAAAATAAAGGAGTAGCGTTCATGCCAATCGAAGATTAGAAACGGTTCTAGTAGATCTAGAAATGATCTGGAAATGATCTAGAAATGGTTCTAAATTGCGACGGATTAGGCATTCGTGGAAGAATTGAAACTATTCAAACAGCAACATTCTTAAAATCAGTAGAAACATTGACGATAGATTGTATCGCTTCGGTTGCAAAAAACCACTAGACACATCGTGCATGAAAAAAATAAAATAAAAAAAATAAAATAAAATGATTTTTTTTCTAAAATCAATGTTTGATATTTCTCTAGCAAAAATCCAACAAAGAATTCAAAAATACTACTATTATTACCACTGCAAAAATTACAAGGGCTACTAAACCTGTTGCCATGACTACAAAGACTACTAATAATATTGATACCACCTCTATTTCTACTACTATTACTAATTAAATACTAGTGTTACTTTTGTTGCTACTATAATCGTGACTACTATAATACTCAAATTAAAATTACTACTTCTCCGATAAATGGTGAGACGACTATTTCAAATATTACCAATGCTGCCGTTAGAAATATCGCTATACTATTTACAGATACTAATATATACTCTACTAATGCGACTATTTTATAGTGTTTTTTTAAGACACGTGATCAGTAGTCAACTTCCTCTCGTCTGACTCTTTACTCTACAGTTTATTTACCCTATAACCAAGATATGCAAATAGGTACAATCCTAATTGCCAATTCCACTACAATTACTATGATTAATAAAGAAGAATGCTCATGAAAAGGGAAGGATGAATAGAGAATAATAAGGAGAAAAGGAAAGTAAGGAGAGACTTAAAATTGGAACGCTTATAATGAAACAATTTTAAAGTCGTCTTCTAGGTTGGTTACTATGACGTGCTAGACAATTATTGTCGCCATTTTCTACCATTCACATTCGAACTTGCATCAGATATTGCTACCACATTTGATATGGTGATTCCAGACCGTGTCGGGAGATGCTTGGCGGTATACGAAGAAGAATTGGCAATATTATCCGTCCTGACCTGACATCTCGGCTTCAGTCACTTTCCCGCCACCGTAACCTAGATCCCCTCTACCTTTTCTATAATTATTTTCATGGTAATTATTCCGATGAGCACTACTCTCTGGTACCTCGACTTCATGAATTTACGCTCAGTGCTAGATTGGCTGCTAGGTCTCATGAATTTACTGTTGAAATATTCAGATTTAACCGTAAGTTTTATTGTAATAATTATTTCTTTCGCACTTCTCACCTCTGTAACTCGCTTCCGGTTTCTTGCTTCTTTTTTTTTTTGTCAACTTTGATCTTCAAAAATCTAAATTCAATCTGAATCGTCGTCTTCTGTCGACTTAATTTCCATTCTTTTACGGTCGTCTCTGTTTCTTTTACCCTCAGCAACTCCCTGAATCTTAGTGGCTATATCGCCTTGCTTGGGGGTGAAATGATAAAAAAAAATCAGTTCTGTCTATAGAAGAAAAAATAAATAATGTAAACGTACCATCCAATGTTAACGGTTTATTTTTTTCCGTTTTCATTCTATAACATAGAACTTTGGTTGTGCTATATTGGTCATTACGTTAAAACGATTTTGCTAGATCTGCTGCTAGGAATGTTAGTTCTCTGTGGTGTGATAGACAATTTTTCTACCATCAGAATTCATTTTGCACATTTATAAGTGTACGTTTCGACCGACAATCGAATATTGCTGCCATAACTCGTCTGATTTTTGTATTATCTAGAGATTGCAGACAAAATCCAATGAAACTGCAATGTTATTGGTCCTGACCTGGCATCTTGACTGCAGTCACTTTCCCACCGCTGCAACGTAGATTCCCTATAACTTTTCTATAGATATATACACCGTTATTGTTCTGATGAGCTATGTTGATGATGTTCTGGTATCTCGACTTCATGAATTTAAGCATAGTACTAGATTGGCGGATGTACATTGTAATGGATAACGGCGTGGAGTGAGAAACCAGAGAGCAGAGTTCGAGTCGAGTTCGTTACATTTAATTACGCGCAAACACCATTCGGAGTAGTATGAATCCATCTCCAGCTATGAGTTGAATAGTAGGGTAGACTGAATCCTACAGCCTTGCTTGTCAACCAGTCTACCAGAGAAAGAAACGGCAGCTTACTGCGGGAAAATCTTAGTCATTCATGAATTGAAAGAGATATAAGCCGATGCTACTTAATAAAATATATAAGCCGATGCTACTTAACTAACTGACTAGATTGGCAGTTCGGTCTCATAATTTCACTGGCGTAATTACTAGTTGTATCTATAAGTTCTACGCTAATAGTTTCTTCTCTCGCACTTATCTCTTGTGGAACTATCTTCCAGCTTTCAACTTTCCAGTCAACTACTATCTTCAAAAATTGAAATGCATTATCAATTGTCTGCTTCTGTCTCTGTTGAAACTTGACTAATGCATGGAATAATAATGCAACACAAAATGTACTTAGAACAAAATGTATTGAAACAAGAAAGTGTACACAATATTTACATATAGCCTTTTGTATATTCCTGGTAAGACCGTTCCTGGAGAATGTGTTGACTGAGTCGCAGTCGGGCAGAGTCTCTGGATTGAATCTCTTGATTCCTTCTACTCTCTTCCCGGTACCAACCATATTTATATGGTCGGTACTCCACTATGCAAATTAGGTGGATCCTACCACAACACTCTCTTTGAATGCTGTTCTTTTGTTGTCCTCTCTGTTTCTTTTACTCTAAGCAATCTCATGGATCCAAGTGTCTTTCCTTGTGGTGAAATGATTTAAAAAAATACTTAAAGGAAAATAAAAGTGAGAAAAATAAAATATTAATCCAAACAAAGGTACAAATATTTCTCGAGAATATATTCTTATATCAGGGGTCAGCAAACAGTGGTGGGCCATATCAGTAGTGTTTTGGGACTCAGTGGACCAAGAAAATCTCAAATAAAATATGGATATGTTCAAAACTAAGATAAGACTATATTTTAATCATTTATTAAAAGAATATTAAATAATATCTTATACTATAATTTTTTAATTAATTCACTCCAAGCAAGGCAATAAAGCCACTAGGACCCAAGGGCTTACTGAGTGTTAGAGAATATAAGAAAAATGACTTTAAAGGAGAGAGGACAATAAAAGAACAAGAATTAAGAAGACAGAATATAACGATTGACAAGAATATTGATGAGAGTTCCGCTAGCGTACCCTGCTATAAGAAACATCTATAGCCATTTCAACTATAAGATGATGAGACCCTGACGACAAACGCACGGACGCAAAGTTCTCTCTTTCTGTCTTTTCTATAAATACTTTCATGGTAATTGTTGAGATGAGCTTTTCGCTATGCTACATTGAGTTTTTGAATTTAAGCGCAGCACTCGAGATCTCATCAACTTACAGTTGAAATGGCGAGATGTAACCGCAAATTCTATGAAGACAGTTTCTTTTCTCGCACTTCTCGCTTGTATAACCCCAGCCAATTTTAATGTGAAAAAAATTAAGTACAATGTCAATCGCTATCCACTGACCGCCTGATTACTCTTTTTTCTTCTCGCTCATTATCAATGTTTCTGTTCCTAATTCGCCCACACCCTGTAACGCCTGGCGTCTTAGTGACTTTACTACCTTAAAAAAAAAGAAACAAAAAAAAAAAAAAAAAAAAAAAAACTAGTACTGCGCTCAAATTCATAAAATCTAAGGTACCCAGATTTTATGAATTTGAGCGCAGTAATAGTTTTTTTTCACAAGAACCATTCCCAGGAAAATTATTGAGAGTAAAGACACGGGGAAGCTGTATTCCGGTGGTGGGAAAGTGACTGAAGGCGAAATGCCAGGTCAGGACTGATAACATTGCAGATTCTTTGGATTTTATCCTGATTCTCTAAATATATAGCTGGAACACCAGACCAGATGCGGCAGAAATATTCAAGGCAAAGACGAATGGTAGACTTATAAATATATAAGATAGATTGTGAGAGAGAAAGATTATAGTACGACATAGTGAACCAATTTTTCTAGCTGCAGACCAAGCAACTAATAAAAAAATAATATACACTTACATCATTTACATTCGCACTATCCTCTCCATCTTTGTTTTTGTTATAACAACGTTTCGGCCATTGTGCTCGCTGGCCTTAATCAGGCGCTTGTCGCTAACCTTCGGGGAATTTACAACTGAACACTCAATGTAATCTACGGGTGGTGATTGTTTTCATTCCATTGTCCATGTGAGATTTTTACCTTCACAGAAATTAACCGGTGAGCCGAGAAGAAGAAGGAAATAAATTCGTGAGCATATGTGAATGCTTTTTGAACAATGAAAACCTTGCCTTCAAATTGATGAAATAATTTAAATTAAGTAGAAGAGAATCTGAAGTCATGTGAAATGTTTCACTTCAGTTCTTCGTGACCAGCGTTGAAGTACTCACCAGTGTAAAATTAGTCACCAATTCTATTTTCGCCCTGTAACCAAAAAATTTTCTCTGAACAATCCAAGAAATCTAAGTATTTCAAACTATCTCTCTTCATCTATTTTGAACGTATGCAAAGCATATATCCCTTCAATGAGCAACAAACTCTCTTACATCTGTCTTAAATATTTTTGAATATTATTAGCTTCAAGCGTGCACATTCTTGAATAAATTCCTTGTCTTTTTTTGTTAAACTTCGCCGTGTGTTTTGCTGTCATTATCATTTTTTTAACCCCCGATCCTCACACTACTAAAAAGTAAATAAGTAAACGATAAGGTAAAAAAGAACAGTTCGATATTCATCGTCATGTGTTTATTTGAAACTTCCTGTTCACAGAGAATATGGTAATAAATAAATGTTGTATTGCACTTGGTTCACGTATATTTATATTCATCTAGATAATAATTCCTACAAATCAGCAATCTAATAAATAAATAGAGTCTAATATTTTTGTCGTTCTTTCACGAGAAAAAAATTCTAAACCCTTTTTTTAAAAATCATAGAAATTGCCGATGTAGTCGTGGGTGTATACAGTAACAACGGTGTCAAGAGGAAAACCGTCCTTGGGGAAGACGTTTTTTGTTGGTATAATTGTCAATAGGCCAATCCGAAGTAAGGAAGATTCAGTGGTGATCGTACCTTAGATGCGGCACAAAGCCGAACTTAGGGGGTAATTAGTGAGGATCGAACTCACTATTCAGTAGTAATTGTTCTAGTGAGACAAGCTTGTTAACAATAGCACCACGTCGGAGTACCTCAGAACAGGCGGGTACAGTTATTTCTAGGAGAAAATTGTGATTGAAGATGAAAAACATACTTGGACCAACAGAAATACGTTTCTACACAAAGATGCTAAGGATACCATGGACCGAACATGTGATCACCGTCAAGGTATGGGAGAAAATGGAAACAAAAAGGAAACATACTTAACATCAGGAAGATGCAGCTGGAATTTCTGGGGCACATAATGAGGAAGAAGGCTTGGAAAATTTGATACTCACAGGGCGGATAGAGGGAACGAGCAGTAGAGGAAAGCAGCGCGTAACATACTTGATGGGCTTGAGCAAATGATAGCAGAACAGGGTTTGGAAGAAATAACAAAAAGACAAAACTTATTAAGAGTTACAAGGGACAGGAAGAGGTGGAGGGCCATGATCGCTTACTTTCTGAAGCGAGACGGCACACAAAAGTAGTAGTTAGGTTTTTCAGTAGCAAACGGTTCAGATCTGAAAGAAGTCACTCCCCAAGCAATGGCTACAGGTTGGTGTTCGGTGATTAGCTATGTTCGACAAACTAACAATAAGTAAAGGACTTAGTTAAAAGAAAGTTTGGAAAATTATCCTATCCAGTAACTCTCATTTAATAATGCCAATGGCGACACTTGTATCATAATAGAGAAAAAGAACATCTATGTCAGCTCAAAGTATCTCCCCCCACATAAAACTATTTAGTATTGTTTTCCGATCAAAGAATTGCGAGTTATATACGACTCTGAGCGGACGAGTTAGACGAAAAACTCTACATCAATCATCCCTTTCCGCAGATCATTTAAGCTAGCGTGGGTGCCAAAATTGTTGATGGAAGTGGCCCGTGAAAATTGCTGGAGAAAGTAGCAGAAAAATGAAAGCAAATAAAACCACTTCAGCAACAATATAAAGTAAAATACAAGTAAAATACCAAAGTAACTCTTAGTCATAGTTAGTACATGACATGACAACAAATGACCCAATAATTGTCGAATGGATGGATAGAGTGGAAGAGCTGCAGATATTAAAGAAGATTAACGTGGTGACTCTATACAACTGAGGACGTCATTTGGTTACTGACGAATGAAATCTAATGGCACCAAAAGATGCCACGATGCAAGTTGAATTGGAGACTTGGCCAGAAATATCAAGAACTAAGCCTTTTGATTAGATGAAAATTGATGTGTTCCATGTCCGTAGAGACGAATTGCTCTCATTTAGATGAATAATTATGTAAATAGAAGAAGAAGAAGAAGAAGAAGAAGAAGAAGAAGAAGAAGAAGAAGAAGAAGAAAACGAGGGAAGGAAATAGCGGATAAGAGAGAAGAAATGTTTGCTAAAGCATAAGAGATATAAAAGGAGAAAGGAAAGTAGAAAAAGAACATGATGGAGTGATAAATGAAGATAGTAAAAAGAAAAGGAGAGGAAGAGAGGAGGGGGTTGTAGAAACGACAATGTTTGAAAGAAAAAGAAGAAAGTTGTAAATGAATGAGGAAACGCAGATGTTGAAAATGGATTAATATGTGGCATGAGAAAAGAAGAAAAAAGAACTGTCACGAAATGGAGACGCAAGAAGTGTAAAAGAAATAAAAAAAAAGCAAATAAGAAAATGATAAAGCATAAGGCCGGGATTGTGGAAGTTAATGGATTTCAGAGAAATGAACCAAAGTCCAAAAGAAGATTTGAAGAAGAAGAAGAAGAAGAAGAAGAAAAATATTTGAAGGAGAAGAAGAATATCTGAAGAAGAAGAAGAAGAAGAAGAAGAAGAAGAATATTTGAAGAAGAAGAAGAATATTTGAAGAAGGAGAATATTTGAAGAAGAAGGAGAATATTTGAAGAAGAAGGAGAAGAAGAAGAAGAATATTTGAAGAAGAAGGAGAAGAAGAAGAAGAATATTTGAAGAAGAAGGAGAAGAAGAAGATGAAGAAGAAGAATAATATTTGAAGAAGAAGAAGATGAAGAAGAAGAAGAAGAATATTTGAAGAAGAAGAATATTTGAAGAAGAAGAAGAAGAAGATGAAGAAGAAGAAGAAGAATAATATTTGAAGAAGAAGAAGAAGATGATGAAGAAGAAGAAGAATATTTGAAGAAGAAGAATATTTGAAGAAGAAGAAGAAGAAGATGAAGAAGAAGAAGAAGAAGAATAATATTTGAAGAAGAAGAAGAAGATGAAGAAGAAGAAGAAGAATATTTGAAGAAGAAGAAGAATATTTGAAGAAGAAGGAGAGGAAGAAGAAGAAGAAGAAGAAGAAGAAGAAGAAGAAGAAGAAGAAGAAGAAAAAATAACGGGGACAGTAAATATTCTGTCAGTTTAGGTTCGTAGAGATCATGACTGTGTAGTTTGCAATAAGTACTCATGCGCACACATACACAGAATCACGCACGCAAACAGACACAGAGACTCGGTCTCTCTCTCCCTCTCACACACCCCCACGTGCACAAATATTTGCCGTTTGCTTATAAGGAAACATTTGATATTCATTGACAGATCAGCCAGTGCGACTTTCAGCTCAAATTTATAAAACCGGTTTTCAAGTCTAGAACAGTTATTCTCTCTTTTCATAATGTTTGTTTTTATTTTAATTAATAAATGGTCTTCAGTTAACTGTTTCCTTTTAATTTTTGACAATTTTTAGACATGTCTCTTCTCTCTGAAAACGAGTAGTTGTTTTAAGATATCGATATCTGAAAATTTATTTTTAAAGTCTCAAGTCTAATGACACAAGTCATTTAGACTCAAAAACTTGTGACTTTGTCAAAGTAAGCTTTATAATTGGGACCTTCAACAAGGTCTGTTATACACGAGGTTTTTCTCAGATAAGGTTATACTCGTACCCTTCTCTTCTAGCGTTATACTCGTATTTTTCTGAAAGCTAGTGTTATACTTGGGTCCTTCTGCCAAATGTGTTATACACGAGGTTTTTCTCAGATAAGGTTATACTGAAGCCCTTCTCTTTTAGCGTTATACTCGTATTTTTGTCAAAGCTAGCGTTATACTTGGGTCGTTTTGCCAAATGTGTTATACACGAGGTTTTTCTCAGATAAGGTTATACTGAAGCCTTTCTCTTTTAGCGTTATACTCGTATTTTTGTCAAAGCTAGCGTTATACTTGGGTCGTTCTGCCAAATGTGTTATACACGAGGTTTTTCTCAGATAAGGTTATATTCGTACCCTTCTCTTCTAGCGTTATACTCGTATTTTTGTCAAAGCTAGCGTTATACTTGGGTCGTTCTGCCAAATGTGTTATACACGAGGTTTTTCTCAGATAAGGTTATACACGTACCCTTCTCTTCTAGCGTTATACTCGCATTTTTCTGAAAGCTAGTGTTATATTTGGGTCCTTCTGCCAAATGTGTTATACACGAGGTTTTCTCAGCTAAGGTTATACTGAAGCCCTTCTCTTTTAGCGTTATACTCGTATTTTTGTCAAAGCTAGCGTTATACTTGGGTCGTTCTGCCAAATGTGTTATACACGAGGTTTTTCTCAGATAAGGTTATACCCGTACCCTTCTCTTCTAGTGTCATTATGGAAAGTTTTTTAAGCAATCTAATGTTTCATTGAATGAAATTTACTATAGTTACTGATCTTATTTTGTGATAATGCCGTGTTTGGACATCCGTATTTACCAAAATCAACACGTCTATACTCACACACATACAAAAATGTGAAAATTTTTTTTAAAACACTGGAGGTCGCTGAATTGTAATAACCTTTTCCATTTATGATTTGTAAATATAGTTTTTACCTAATAACAATATTTCTAACCGATATAATTTATTACAGAATTAAAAAAAAATTAAAACTTTATAAATTATCCTATTTAAAAATTTACAACTATGAAAACAATACTAAAAAAAAAAAAAAAATATTATTCATTGAAAACAATTTTTTCTTAAGACATTAGTGTCAATAATGTAAAAGCTTTTCTAACTAAATAATTTCGTAGTTTTATTGCATTTTTTATTTTACGATTTAGAGCAGATTTTAGATAATTGGGGATGAGTTTAAAAAAAAATAAAATAAAAATAAATTAAAACAATTAGAAATTGATGATTCAAATTCTCCAAGAAATTCAGGGTACGACTAATACAAATATTAAGCTATACAAAAATTAATTTCTCGGAATTTCATAAAATGAAATAAATTGGAGTGAACAGATGTAGAAAATGTTTTATCTAAAAAATATAATTTCTAAAATAATTTAATTCATTTGAGAATAATTCCTGAAATCTTCATCTTTGTTGCCATATTTATCACAACGTTTCGACCGTTGTACGCTCCGGACTTCTTCACGTGGGTGGAATGAAGAAATGAATCCTTTATTTCGCTCGCTGGGGTAGACTGTTCTAGTACACGTACCATGTCTAACGTATGTCAGTTATCAGTTATCGCCTGTTAATTCCCCTCTCCAAGTTCTCCACTGCTTTAACCAGGTATTGAACACACAACTCTTTGAGTCCTGTCATTGGATCTAACCAACGCGTTTATCCACTGTGCGATGTGTTCTAAAGGGGTCAGTTCGACATTCCAACCACCCGAAGAAGGCCGGAGCGTACTACGGCCGAAACGTTGTAATAAATATGGCAACAAAGATGAGGACAATAGTCTGAATAATGTAAATAGTGTACATAATACCTCATCTCAGAGATATAGACAGATACTGAAAGGCCGAAACGTTGTAATAAATATGGCAACAAAGATGAGGACAATAGTCTGAATAATGTAAATAGTGTACATAATACCTCATCTCAGAGATATAGACAGATACTGAAAGGCCGAAACGTTGTAATAAATATGGCAACAAAGATGAGGACAATAGTCTGAATAATGTAAATAGTGTACATAATACCTCATCTCAGAGATATAGACAGATACTAATTCCTGAAAGTTTCATTAAAATTCAAAAAGTATTTGATTTTTGCAATAATTTCAAAAACAATGTGATTTACATTGAAAAAGATGCTAAAATTTCCTATCTTAATGTATAGCCACTTGCTGATGCAAGAGAAAATTCAATATTTTGAAGGTTCTAGATGGGAGTAAAAATATTATTTAATAATCCAAAGATCCCAGTCAAGACGGTAAACTACATCCGCGTCCTCGGTAAAACGATAAACTACAACCAAGATCAAGGCCTCTGATCAGGATGGTTTTAGGATTGTGGAGCCACCTCTTAATTGCTAGTGTTTCCAGGTCCACCCTGACCGGGGGTGGTAGAACCTGTTAGGGTCCAAGCTATGAAGAAATAGCTGAACCTCAAATTGGGGTCAAAATACTATGAAAGTGTAAAACAAATTTTAATACCAGCAATACATTTTTGTGAATAAATATTATCAGCAATGAATTTTTGAAAAAAATAACAGCAATACATTTTTGAAGGAAAAAAAATATTACCAGCAATAAAAATATTACCAGCAATAAAAATATTACCAGCAATAAAAATCTCATCGCCATTAAATTGAGATTGATATGCCTTTCGTTTTGGACTCTTATTAATAACATATAGATTTTGAAGGCAAAACTTTGTTTTATTAAGTTTGAAACATTTCTTCATCATGTGTGCTTATTTTTAGCGAATATTTGGTGCTACCTACATATAACTAAAAATATAGCAGATTTTAAAATGATTGTTGATTTCCGCGTTTCTTACAATTTACGTGCGAAAGAGTGAGTTAAAAAAAAAAAAAGAAAAAAAAGAAAGCGTTTAAATTTATGAAAACCTGAAAGGATTCCATAAGCAGTCTCTCACAGACTGGCGGATAAATGATGATTCATAACGTTTACATTATTATTAAGCGAAACAAACCATTTCAAGAATAACTTGAACGTGGCTTGTTGATTTTGTTTCCTTTTCTGCTGATCATCACACTGCTTCGCGCCTTTTGTTCTCTACGCTTATTATCTGTATAATGTTTGATTTTTTATTATTATTATTAAAATACCTTCATTTTGCTGAAAAGATTTTAAAAAAAGATAACCTCTCTTTCAACATGAACTTCCTGTAGCAGTTGTCTTTGTCGTATTGTCTGGTCTTTTTGTAGTTTAACTTCTTTTCTTTTTTTCTCCAACTACACGCCCCGCCCCTGATCTCATGATCACATCTCATGTTACATAGTCATCCATCCATCTGGACGGGTGTCGCTCTCATTGCGATCTCCGCAATGTTTGTATTTTTATTGCATACACATCAACGGCTTCGCCGGTCCATCGCATCTTCACTAGCTTTGCATATGCAGAAAAAACTCCGTCCGTAAAGACTGTTTTTAACTTAGCTTCTATTTTCTTTGCATTCCGTTGATCCTCTTCGGTTAACTGGAGATATAAGGCCAGGGCGTCTCCTTCTAAAAACAGGGACATAAAGCTTGCGAGGTCGTGGAATTTTTGCAGTCTCGCTACGAAATTCACTTTCGCCGCCCAGGCCATCAAATCGACTTCGCCACTGAACGTTTTCACCATATCGACAGTTACTTTGCGATTCCTTATACGCTTATAAGAGATATGCATGCCGAAATAGCTTGTAGATGTTGTATTTGCCGTATTGTCTGGTCTTTTGTAGACTAACTTCCTTTCTTGTTTTTTTTTCCAAACTACACTTACATTTATATTAAAGTGTTTTCATTTTCTAGGAAAAGTTTTTCCAAGAAGTATTTTTCAAAGAGATACTTAATTATGCTTGCATCATGGCAAAAAAAAACTATGCAAATGAAATCAACTTATCTTCGAAAAGACTGCGGGCCTTCCATTGGCTCCATGATACAAAGAAATTACGAACCAGACTCATTCCATCTTCGAACGCATATAAAGTTAATGACAGAGAATAAGAGGACAGCAAGTAAGCCGACTGCCGAGAGAGTGAATTTTTGACTGTTTGCTATATTTTTGCTACAAAATTATATTCACTTTTTCGCTGCCTAGAGTACTAATAAATTTTTTATCATTTCATCCCAAGCAAGGCGGCAATGCCACAAGGAAACAAGGGGGAGGGGGGGCAGGGAGTAAAAAGGAGAAAAAGACTGGTTATAGCAAGGAATGGGGAAAGGAAAAAAGATAAACGGCATTCAAGAAACCAGAAGATAGAGATTGACGTTTCATTTAAATTTTTGAAGATTGCACTTATCAGGGGAAGAAGTAAATGGGAGTTCCACAGGCGGGAAGTGCGAGACAAGAAACTATTGGAGTAGAAGTGGCAGTTGCATTTAGTTGTTTCAACGGGTGGGACCTAGATGCCAATCTAGTAGCACGTTTAAATTCATGTTGTCAGGGGAACAGAGGAAAAAAGATCACCAGAGCAGCTGCCATGAAAATATTTGTAGAAAAGACAGTTGTACGCCATACAATGGTGAGAACGCCACTGAAG